TGCAGCTGCCAGAAGATCGGACGAAAACGTGGTAAAATCGCTAGGCGCGATATGTGGCGTTGAAAGGAATCACTCGCAGTTAAAATAGAACCGTATTCCCAAGAAGGGAGATAAAAGGAAAAATATAGAGGGGAAAGAAATAATGACACAGAGATAAGCCCGAAATATTGCGCAAGAGATAGAATCTGCCAATGATCGACTTGTCACTGACCAGATTATTTTGCAGGGCGACAAACGGGTTCCACCTAGGGATTATTGCTTGGTGGTGAAGTGGGGGCAGTGAACAGCCGTTTCCGTCACCGTCTGGCCGATAGAGGAACTTTTAGGAGTTCTCTTTTGGGACTGGGAAAATCGGACGGGAAGAGTGGCGAAGCGGGTCCTTTTCCCTTTGTAAGGTACTACTCGTAGGGGAACCTGAGATGATGCGATGGTTCAACTCAGCTGGTCTGACTAATCTGATGACGAACAGTAGAGCTATTGATCGATGCGTCAAGAGAGATGAAATGGGGCCTAGATGCAATAATAGACGCAATCGTCAATGAATGAATCCTTCAGTGACAGGGGTAAAGGTTGAAAGGAAGGAGATGAAGGAGGATGAGAATTCATCCGGACAGGTCGAAAGTCAGAGGGAATCGCAGAATCAGCTGACAATAACAATAGAATCAGAAGAAAACAATGAAGCTACTATGACATTCAATGCTGACGATAAGGTAATGAGGAAAAACTGTAAGATGGGATATGTTACGTCAGAAACATACCAGATTCACCACAGAATCAAGGATCCTCTCAGTCAAAGGGTGATGGTGCTCGGTAAAGTTGCTGGAATTGAAATGGGAAAGGAATAGAGTGATAGGAAGGCAGGAGAGGGAAGATGGGAATCTGTTTGTATTTATTCTATCGATATCAATGAGCCGGAAGACAGAATGATTGCGCAAGAATAATATATTATTATTATTTTAATTTTCAGTTTTTATTTTAAAAGTGATAATACTTTCAATTAATTATTGTTCTTAGTGCCAGAGGCCCTGGTCCTGATGATAGTGAAGAATAACGCCAGGGATCGCCAGGTTTACCTCCAAAGGGCTTAGGCTACTCGGGTGGTCCGGTTATCGGGTGGCATAATCACAAGATGGAGCTTGATAGGTGGCATATGCAGTGATTGATTGGTGTCTGATGATTTTCTAGAATCTCCTTCTGGTGGTTATTATCCTCGTCCTCTCCAGGTACGGAGTACACACTTGAGCTGACTTTATCGTACTGACAAATGTCGAGAGATATAACCTCGGGATCGACCTTGCGCATGATAGCCGCAAGATTTTGTACGACTACTCGTGATTCGAGCAATGATCACTACTATTGCTCATCGTGTCTTGTATGTCAACATGTGCTAATGGACTGGCATGATCCCTCCGATACCCACGGGCTGCAGGTTACACCGCATATCTTTATTTCTGCTACTGTCCTGAGATTCATGATTTCAACTCTTATATTTCTTATGCCGATGATATGACGTTTTATTTGTATTTTCCAATGTTCTGCTCGGGTCGAATGTAGGGTAAATGATCTTCCACGCAATTCAGAGCGGGGGTCTATTGCCTATAGCATTCTGCAGCTGTCATGTATAGGTTCGACCGCATGACATCTCTCATAAACACTGGAAAGAAGACTTCTAAATCTATATAAGTTTAAAAGTAAGGTGGCAATAGCAACCCAGAGCAACAGCTCAAGCTACTACGAGCTTCGCAAGCCGGCCCAAATCAGAGAAAGTGGAGCGAGACTGCATACATCACACATTTGGCATTAGTTTCCGAGGAAGACTCCACCAAGGATCTTCCACCTTGTGAGTCAATAGACTAACAGATGAATCTGTAGATAGGTTCTTCTACTGCAGTTTTAATTCTCATATCAGCTCAAAAACTTCGGCTTCGAACGATATTCGGAATTTGAATGTATAAACAGGGAGACAGCAGTACAATAGTAGTCACTCTACAATGATGTCATTTTCTATGGTCCTTCGTATCGAATATTGCCAAGCTATTAAGCTTTCTTCAGGGATATCGTAAACTAGGTAGTTTCCTTGCGTTCGGTAGATACTAGTAATAGATCGTCGACGATGGCATGACTTCGGCCATATGATGTTGAACTTGGACTACGGCCTGCATGTGCTTGAGCCCCCAGGCACCTGCATAGATGCTGCATACATCTCGGACCGAAGCTCTCTCGTCTGCAGCAGCCACGAAGCCAGCCACAGCGTTCCAGGATCGTCACTATCACATGAAATCAAACTGACATCAAAAGAATGCCAGGCTGTCAGTAAGCTTCTATAACTCAGCTTTGCCTAAACATGAACCAGTTCATCACGATTTGACTAGATGACATGTGATCGGGGAAAATCGCACGTTCTCCGATAGTATCTATCATTAGTAGCTCTCGCCATCCAGTGTCCACGGCAATCAAAGGTCGGGATCCATCCCTGACTCGGGCCTGGACAACCCGTCATGATCGTCATCGACCCAAATAGGCAAACCCACAGTCGGAATTTCCGCCAAAATTCAATATCTTCCAATCTTACCTCTCGAGGTACAAGGACTCGTTGAATAACCTGCACTCCTTCGCAACAGTGACGCTGGTCAGTAACAAAGAAAATCCCAGTCAGCACCTAGAACTTCTTCGATGTCCCGAGAATATCAGTCTTGAGTCTTGACGCAAGCAATGACCTCAATTATCCCACGGTTTGACGTTATCAGCCGGTTTATTTTCTTTGTCTTTTTCGCATGCTAATAGTCCAGACCCACCTATCCGCGGGTCCTCAACCTTTCCACAACAGAAAATTCGTGTCAGTCTACTCCGTATCTATTACGCTATCTAGAGTAGTCTAGTACTCTAGTCTAGCTGCCAGGAAAAGCTTTCAAGTTCGAGACCTAAGAGTTGAGTCTAAAGCTCCTACCTCAGGACGAGCTCCTCTTCAAGGCACCATTCGGTGAGCCTGTACAGAGATCTACCGGGAGGGTCCTCGACTAATTCAGGCCACCAAACCTCAAACCTATGGACGGATGAGAGTGGTCGGGTAGCAATGCCCTTCCTTAGTCCTATAGCCGCCAGAGCTTTTCGATAGCTTTGTATCAGTAGAACCGTTCAACCTCCATGACATCACCACGTGCCTTCACGTCAAGCGATGCAGGAAGGATGCGCTGGACTTCAAAGAATAAAGTGCATCTTATTGGCGTATCAAAGATGATATTATTCAAAATTTCACTCAGGCTGGATGATGATATTACAAGCCACGGAGCACGGTACACCGAGAGATAGGTAGCAAGGATCAAGCCCATGGCACTCGGCATGCCGAATCCAACCCGGTTAAAACGGAGATCAAGGAACCTCGACCCGATATCAGGTTGTTCGCCAATAGATTTTCATGATAAGTTCGAGACTCCGAAACCAGAATCATCAGACTCCACTGACAACGCATCCCTTTTATTTTCCGAGAGAAAGCAAAACCCGCTTCTAGCAGTAGCTTGTCTTCCTCAGAACCCTTATCATCGCGCAAGAATCACCACTGGCACAGTCTTTTGGATCCAGAACGCGAGCACGGACTCGATCGACATCCACTCTACTGACTTAACTAGAATACCTAAGAGGCTAAAACAGAGCTCATCCTTCCGCACTTAACCTTGTAAGTCATAGAGCACTAAGAGATTTTGTTATCTGGTAGCTCGCCATATTTCGCCTATCACCCTTCAACCTTCGAAACAGCGGACTTTTCCGTCGGATCCACAGGGAATAGGAACTTGATCCTACCGGAGACTAAGGACGGGTATCCAGCCTGCCAATGCCAGCATTCCTCGAGCCTGATATCGACGGGTATCCACCAAATCTATCTAGAATACACCGGCGGCTAAAGAGGGATAATGATTTTTGCGGACTTTTCTCGCCTATCAGTAGGTATCAGACAACGAAATTTGACATGCGGACCAATGGCATGGTTCTCAAGATGCACATGGCCAGACCGTATCTGCACCCTGCCAATAACTCAAATTTCTTTATCGGAAAATTTTTCTCACCAGTCAAAATTGACTACTCTGAAGCTTGCACCATGATATGGAATGGTAATAACGCAAATTTATTTATCCACGTAGTGCCCTTCTCACGGGGTATGTCCGATACCCTGCATGAGCACGTCTGCATGATACAAGAGGAGCTGAGATGATTCCCTATCAGCCGCCAGTAGCGAGGACTGGCAGTACAGACTGCAGAACCCAGCGCAAGGCTGATTCCATATCCGTAGATGTCTGGGCCATGATCATGCGCTGCTTGCCGTGCGTGATTTGGTTTCTGTCGATATCATTTGACTTTTGCGACCATTCTGATACTTCGGTATCTACAATTCCGAGTGTGGAATTCGAATGAAGATACCAGTCTGGTCTGGATATCCGTGCGCGACATCAGACTTGTTGCAGGCTTGCTGCCAACGGCACGCGGTAGATATGTATCTGGCTTGCGTACGCGAATGCGATGAACAAAGTCAGGAATAGTTCATCGCATAGATGAGTGCAGTTATCAGCTGAGAACCTTTGAGTCTCTGGTAGTGTCTGTTAGCAAAGGGTTATCACGCAAAGGATATAATCCGCATGATAACTGCACCTCTATGATCCAGATTTGCATCGAGTCACAAGCGCTCTTCTGTCTGGACGAAGATACAGCATGTCAATCATTATTGACAATTGCTTGGATCACCAAGTCACAGTATTAGATAATAGGATCTCAGATATAAACACACCCCAATCAACAGGCACAGTGATGAACGCTGAAACATCAAGCACGGCAACCCTTATACAGAGAGTCATACACAAATACAGCCCATATACACAACCCTTCCGAGAAACACGCTGAAATGCAACAATCCATCCAACAGCATGTAAAAACACCACGTCATTAATGCCAATCAATCTTGAACCCGCAAGACCAAGGCACCCTTGACACTGTACTCTCCACGACGCCGATCAGAAAATCCACCCCAGCAACAACCACAGCGCAATCCCCGCGCCAATCACGATCCCCGCGACTTTCATAATCGCAACCGTATCCCCCTGTTTCGCCATGCGGGTCAAGCGGCTCGCGCTGCCTTTGAGGTTCGTCGACAGGGAGGAGAAGACCTGGCTCTGTTGGGGCCGTTAGTAACCGTTCATTCATCCAAATGTCGATTACACGGAGTTAAAGCAGGTCAAAACGAACAGAGTGATCCAGCGTTTCGTGGTCCCGGGCATTATCGTAGATATCGATGGTGACGGACTTCAGGGCCGAGACTTTGCTAGATAGGGAGTTGAGGAGGGCATTGTTTTGTCTACAGGAGCCAATTTGTTAGCTGGTTCCTGGTTTCACATGCAAGTACGAGGCTCTGCAACTTAATAAAAGGCGATGAGCAAGCACAGGGAAAAGGGTATCGTACTGTTCACGTTCGTAGGCGTCTCCCATTTTGTTGGTCGGGTGACGGACGTTTGCTGTTCTTCTGACGGGGAAATTCGATGGCCGTGGTCTATTAAGCGGATGATGAGTTAAGAGTAACCAGGCCTGTGTATAATGCGTTTGAGAGGTGATATAGCAAGAGAAGTTGATATGATTACCAGAATTCCCCCAGAGGCAACCCCATGGCAATGACGTGGAGATCCGGAGAGGCTACGATCACGTGATCGATAGCATTCTACCGGCCAGTCTTATAAAGTTCACCTGGTTATCTATCCAAAAGTCGCACAGCTTGTCCTACGTTGCCTTGGTAAAATGTGCTACGGTGCAGGCTGATCTACGAAATGAGTCCATCCTTCAGCTCTGCAGGCACAGGTTGCAAGAAAGTCGGCCAGAGTCCATCCGTTGCAATTCAACGTACAAAGGTGTATAATAACAAAACAGGCAAGAAGTTGAAAGTGAACCCAGATCGAGACACGGGAAACCCCAATCGCTATGCTAATATATCAAATCAATGTGTGCAAGAGTGCCAGGCACTTAGATACCAGAGCACAAAACATGACAATAAGGCACTTCAAGTGCCATGCCGCCAAGGCGTCAAAGACGAAACGCGTCATAGAAAGGAAATCAGACGGCGGGTAATGGAATCCTTGAGGACAGGCCAATAGCAGGTAACATACTGTCACTTTCCCGAGTCAAATAAAGGGATCCTGCGCTCTTCGCGCAGCAGACAAGACAGGCAGGGACAAATTGACGGAAGGAGACCAGAACAAAGGGAAAAGGTAAAGGCTTCAGTATACAAGTCTAAGAAGGATCAAAGTCGACAAAAGCAGAGGGGTATTCGTGCGCTGCAGAAGAACAAACAGTAGTGAAAGTCGCAATACTTCTGTTCCTTGTTCACCACATATCGTCATCATCGTCGTCCAGCTGGACGTCATCGCCAAACGTTGAATGCCCGTATTGATGATGTCCAGGACCATATACATTCCCGTTTTCGTACTTGCTACCTCTTGAATGTGGCCGGTAATTATCGCGCTGGTCGTCGCCGTACTCGTACATTTGAGGATCATCGTAGGAACTATCGCTGTACTGTTCCTGCTGAGACTGTATTCCGGGTTAGAACAAATTCGCCCAACACCACATGCGAAACCCAAAGTCTACTTACTTCTTGATATTTCTGGTACTGTGAATACTCATCGTTCTGATCCCTTGAAGGTTGCTGTTTTTGCGATGCCGACGACGCCATCATCATGTGAGGATGCATCTGCTGGACCTTGGCCAAGTAAGAGTACATAAAGTTGCTGAGCAGGACCTGAGAATAGAGTGCTCGGCGGGGATTGGCCAATTTGATATGAGCCATGCGGTAGATGGCTCGCTCTTCGAGGATCGAGAATCTTGTCCACGGATAATCGACATCCGGCCGTAGCTCGCGAACGGGTGGGTCAGGGGACAATGTCCGCGACGAGCTCTTTTTGTGATGACCATCTCCACTGTTCTTCTTCCTCCCACCGCCGAAAATCGATGAAAACAGGCCGGATTCCTTGTCCTTCTTGGACTCCCCCGATGTGCGCCGGACGTGGTCTTTCCGACGCTCCTCCTCCAGTTTAGGGTCGAGCCGATCGACGGTGATACTTTCGCGCCCGCGCGGACTGATATCATTGGATGAGGCAGGGTGTGCCGGTTCATGAACCTTATCCGCCGACTTCGATTTACTTTTCTTCGAATCGCTGTCCTTGTCCTTTTTCTTTTCCTTGTCTTTATCCTTCTCTTTCTCCTCAGAGCCGAGCAACCAGTGCCAACTCGACTTGCGACCACCCTCCGAATCTTTCTTGTCTTTGGACTTTTTTGGCTCGGGCTTGCGATCTTCCGATATTGTAGGAATGAATGAGAGGTTGTCCGTCCGTGTTGTATTTCCCGGGAGTGGTTGTGGGTTATTCGCAAAGTCATTGAGAGTTTTCGAGCTCTCCTTCCCCGACTGCCGTGCGGCTCCGGATCGTTTGGTTGTATTCGGATCTCGAAGAGGGGAATCCTTTGAAGGCAGTGTCGGCGGCGCATCTTGCGATGCCTCCCGCCCCGAACTGTAAATGTGGTGGTACGTGGGTGTCGTGGGTGTCGTGGGAGTTGGCGGAGATTCGGCTGGGGGCGTCTCGACAATTTCCGGCACCCTTTGTTCGGTGGGCGGGATATTCAAGGTCGAGCGGCCATTGGAGCTGATGCGAGAGTGCCACTGATGGCGTGACTGAGGAGAAGCATTCGTCCTGTCTCCAGGATTCGTTTCCGGCCAGCCATTCGCCCCGCTATTCTCAAACTGTGTAGAAGAGCTGACAGCGGTCTGGGTGGTGTACTGCGGCTCGGCCTGTGCGCGCCTTGTGCTAGGCGTTGGATCGGTAGCCACTCGCGTGAGACCTGAGGAGGGCTCGTCCGCAGATGAACTAGTGATTGAAGGGACTCGGTCGTTCGTGTCCGATGCTTTACCAGCCCGCTTTGAGAAGGGAACCTTTTCGCCTTTCCTCAAACTACCGGCTTTTCTGTACTGTGTTCGGGTAGAGCGGCGGAGACTGTGCCCGGGGGGTGCGGGAGGCAGGATCGGGACATCCTCCTCTATGGTGAGTTTCTGGACCCCGTCCAAAAAGGACGCCGCGCTCGGGGTTTGCTGCTTGGAGTCATCGACTAACGATTCAAGCTGAAGCAGATTCGGGCTCAGAGACTTGTTCTTCGACTGCGATCGTTTCCGCTCGAGACGCTCCGCCCCGTCCGTGTAACCCTGGGAGGTGTCAATCTGTCGGGACAACATGGACTTTTTCCGGCGAAGCGACCCGCCTGCCCCATCGTGTTCGAAGCCCGAGAATTCGCCCGATTTTCGTCTGATCTGTTCCGCCTTAGTTTCCAGGAAGGATTTGAACTCCTTGGGAGCCAGCTCCGGATGCAGCCGAGCTGGAACCCAGAATAAACGAGATGCGTCATTTTCGTCGGCGGAAGGAGATGGAGCTATCGACGGTACGGAGAAACTTGGAAGGTCGGGATCTCCTGTTGCTGTCACGTCCATAGACATCCGCCGGATAGCAGCTAGGTTACTGAGCTCCTGGGCCACAGCAGCGGGATCGGATTCGTAGTCAACGTCGTTTAGAGGGAAAGAGGTGGTAGCCGTGTCCGTCGAGCCGGGAGACGTCGGGTTGCTGGTGTCCCGATCAAAGGACTTGGAGGAAACCAGTGGCGGCGGTGAGTGTCCATTTGTCTGAGGACTATCCACGGCGTTCGAGCGATTTTGTACGTGCAGCGACTGCGGTGAGGCGGGGTCTTCGGATCCGGCAAGGTTGGGAGGGATTATCGAGATGGATTCGCTGAGTGGGGAAGAAAGGAAGCTGAGACGTTTGGACTCCCGCCTGTCGTAATCGTCTTCGTACATATGCCCAATGGCTTCCGTGACATGATGGCTCGGGTCACTAATAGATAATTGAGGCACATGGCCTCTCCGCGTCCCGTATCCTCCGCCAGCCTCAGAGGGGCTCGGTGAAGCCTAAGTGATCAAACGAACAGACAAGTCAGATAGTTTTCCAATGGACTTCTCATCAAATCGAATGCGGACAGTCCACGAGACGTCTGGAAGAGGGCTCCACGGTTTGGAGGTTGGGGAAAGGCCGGGTCCGACCAAGGGGAAGGGGAAAGCAGAAAAAGCAAGTTCGAACAGGTAAGAGGGATTAATGGGACGACTTTTAGAGCAAACACACCTGCATGAGAGCCGAATAATTCGGGAGCCGTCGTAAAATCGTCTTCCCGAATTTTGCTGAGGACAGAAGGGTCGACGGGAAAGTTGATTGTGGAGAGGGAGGTCAAATAGGAATGTATATAGCACCTAGGCCGGGAGATAGCGAAGGATGATCATGGAAGCGGGGAAGAAACACTGGCAGCGACAGCAATAGTGTTTGACGGGGAAAACCATCCACCAGGGAGAAAGAAAAGAAGACAATAAGGGAAAGGCTGACGGCTAGACATCCGGTGACAACAACGTCCAGCAAGTTGGAGGAAGGACTTTCAGTAAGGAGGAAGAGTGAGGAGAATTAGCTGAAGGTGGAGAGCATAATAATCACCAGGATAATTATTACGAAGGAATATCAGCAGGATGAGGAAGTAGAGGAGTAGAGTAGTGCAAGTAAGACTAAGGTAAGTAAGTAAGAAAGAACCAGCTAAACTTCCTTCGTAGTAGTGTCGTCTGAAGACATCCCTACTGCTCCATAACAAGCGTTGGGTTAGGAAGTTTAGGCTACCTTGGTCCTTGGGGGTTTTGGGTTCTTGGGTATTATTATTTTTATCAGGCGATAAAAACAGGTACCACAAAGTAAGGTACCCTCGACAAGGTTGGAGGTTCTGCTATTTCCGCTTTTATTCAGTTCATAGGGTACCTTATTTCTCGAATAATGGCCTTAACAAAAGTAATGACATACTGAGCAAATGACCATCTACTTCTAACAAATTCCATCTAAGACATGGAGTGCATCCACCCACCTCCGTACTGAAGGTAGCTCGTGTGGCCTCAGGTTATGTTTCAGCCTCGTTCACCACCTGCCTACGAGTAGTTCCTCCTCACTCAATCTCCATACAGCAGGATTTGCCAATTTCAATTCAAATTCGCCCCGTGAAACCTGTTGCTAATAATGTACGTTGTAGTATTCACGGATCGGTCCACTCTGCCTCGGTCATGGTTTAGCTCCACTCGGAGCCCAACTCAAATCCGGGCCGCCGCTCTATGGACGATCGATCTGGTCGCAACGACTTACATACTGACCCTGGAGGAACTATGAACAGATGACGATCATCGATCCATGTCTTTACTATGGGCGAATAATCAATCAACTCCGAGCCCTGGACTATGAGTGGGCTACTGGACCCTATCAGCTTCAAATCACAGTCCTCCGGTAGCGATTTTAAGAGCTCCTTACCGCCAGTGGCTGTCAGGTTATGGAGTGCATAACGGTGGGCACTAATCAGTCACTAAGCAAAGCTTCCAGTCATCCATCCCTCGGACCAAGCAGGACTGGAAGCAGAAATGCATCAAGGGGGATTGGAACTGACTACTGGCATAATATGGGTGACCTCACCCGCAGTAGACGTGACTCTGCCTATGACTTTGGTGCTCATGCGCGACTCTACCGAACGGCTTTCCTCCTCGTGCCGGCCTAGCCTAGCCTTGGGGTCCCCCATGTCTACCTTAGTATCTGGCTATACAGAACTTTATTCCAGCTGACTAGTCATCTCGATATAGGGACTCCTTCGCACGTAGACAAAAATGTGACTCAAATGGCGTATCTGAGCTTTCTTTTCGAGAGCTCCTTCTATCGTGACTACTGTCGATATAAAGTTGTTGTTGTTATTTTCTCATAGTCCTCTTACTTTGTGTGGTTAAGGGTCATCATCATCATAGCAGGTCTCGTGCCCATCGTCGGACACCATACCACGCTTCAACATCAAAACCTACCAGTAATCTTGGCACCAGATCACGATCGGCTCTATTGTTGAAATCATTAATTGACCAACGTCTACTAAACATCTAGGGTCATTAGAAGCTTGACTTGAAACATACCTCTCTTCAAACTCTAATGGAATGTGCATGCATCAATCGGTATGCAGATTATGTCATTCCTGAGTAAAGGCCATGATTACACTGCTTATCACAGGGGATCTGCTGGATCTACTGATCTACTGGATCTGCTGAATACCAGCGATATCCCATAAAAGATGTCTGTGGAGCTTAGCAGATACCTTAAGGTGGCTGGAGTACAGCATTCAGAAACCTCCCTGGATGCCATTGGATACTATGCAGGCCTGTGACGCCATATAACAACTAATAACAATGAGTGAAAAGCACAAGCATGCAATCAATCTCTAAGATCAAAACCGGCGGCAAAAGAACAATCCTAAGTAGTCCTAAAAGCAGTGTCGATCGCAAGACGCAAGAGTCTGAAAAGAAAGGTGAAAGACAAGGATATAGAGAAAGAGGCCCTCACTGAAGCCGGATACAAAAACTGCTTCTTTCCATTCGCAACCCGTTCAGTCATGATTTGGATACACCTAACGGACAAGAACTCCAGCGCTTACATCATGAAAGGAGCTTAAGAGACCTTCAAGACGAAATTGTGATATAGTTCAAGATGTGTGCGTGGCATCTTGAAATGGTCAGTTCTGAGAGTTGATGATCGGTTCATTATGTCATTCTGCGCCAAGCAGCAAAGGGGCCGTGACGGGAATCAAGCTGCATCGACGTAATTGCTAATCTTTGTGTCAGTATGGATGCCTTCTTAGGCCACCGACAAGGATGTTCTCACCTCGGAAAGATGCCGACCCTGTCGCCAATGCGCCCTGTCCACCAGTCTTCCGCCTTGTCCGTGCGCTTCAAGATCGTGATAATGTCTCCCTTCTTGAAGCCCAAGTCTCCTTCCTGATCAGCATCAAATGTGTACAATGCGACGGCCTGATCTGCCCGCAGAGGAGCACTTTGCCCTGTGCGCTGCCCGAAAACAGGCTTGGGTGCCGTTGGCCGGCTGGGCTTGCGGTCGGAGTAGACGTAATCTTCCTCAAATGGAGCGGTGTTGCTCCGACTGCGGCCGCCGTATCTGTCGAAAGTATCGGCTTGACCCATAGTAGAGGAACGGCCCAAACTTGCGGCGGGCCGATCGTAAACGTCGTCTGCCCACGTATTCGCGCGAGGTCTGTCGCGATACTCATAGTCATCGGTGCCGTTAAAACCGCCGCGGTCACGCCGTTGCCCCTCACCGTATGCCTCGCCCCTTCGGCCTTCCCAGACAACGTCGTCATGTCTGTCATCATAGATGGGAATATCATTGTACATGGTGTCTCCGTTTCTGCCATTGCCGTAGAATGCGCGGGAGTTCAGCACCCGGAGAAGAGGGTCGGCAGCGGGGGGAGGTCGGATAGTGCCGCTCAGGAGTTGACGTGCTGAGACTCGACTGTTATACATCTTCTCGTTGGCGTCCTTCCGTTCGACCAGCATGCTTCCTTCCAAGCTGACACCGGCAAATAGACCTTTTGTTTTCGAGTAGGAGAACACCGCTGCCACGCCCTTTGTGCTTGCTGCGCCCGCAGCTTCTGCATTTCTTCCCACCGGCCCTGCGGCGATTGACACGTTCCCACCCAAAGTCAAGGTTCCAACCTGTGAGAATGTCCGCACTGCTGCTGCATCATTCAAAATGAACACAAAATCCGTCAATTCAAATCCAATTTGTCCTCCGAACCCAGCACCGGCGGTCGCAATAGCCGAAGGTGCGGACCATGTGCCATCGGCCAAACGAGCGACGACAATCCCTGAGCCAAACCGAGCAGAACCGAGAAAGCCAGCTTTCAGGACAGTAAGAATAGCGAGACCCTATCGACCGAGCGATTAGCTCGGCGAAAGCGCATTTAAGATAAGACTTCGTTCTCTAACTTACCTTCGCACCAGCGAGGATCTCTGGAGGAATAATCTTATCAGGACCGAAGGCTTGTCTCGGATCGATAAAAGATGCAAGAATCTTGCCCGCTTTCTTACATTCGCCTGTTGAGAAAGAACAATGATCAGCCAGGCACTCGCCTACTGCGGAAACCCAACTGCGGGGAATTGAGACGTAAGCAATGTTGATACGTACTTGATAACGACGACGGCAGTGGGTTGTGAATTCCAAGAGGCATTTTGGCTATGCTCGTCGGATCGTAGGATCAGTGAGTTGTAGGGGAGTAAAGGTCAGGAGTGATACGAAAGAAATAAAGTTGTGATCGTAGGATACTGCGCAACGGGGAGTTCGTTCGCCCAGATGGGTCGCCCGGATGTGGAACAGATGACGGCTGATCCAGTCTAATACTTGGATAGCTAGCACAACCTTCGCAGATACCCAAATGATTGATTAACAAGTTGGTGGGTTAACTTCGGCAGTCAATACATAAAAGCAGTCTTAGGTTTTGATATTATTGTTTCTGTAAGCACTCGAAAACGGCACAGATTCTTTCAGACGACGGACAGCAAAGCAGGTCAAGATACTCTAGAGGTACTCCGCACTATCTAGTAAGTTCCGTCAGTAGCGGCCCCGGCATCGTAGCTCTCCGGGCGCGAGTGGCTGAGTCCTTTTTGTGATAGTCTACCATCCAAGCTCAATATATCAATGGTGAGTATCATTGCTGGAGGATGATATACTTATGTATAAACCTTGTTCAAAGACGTTGGTCCAACTTTCGCCGTCCAGGCTCACTTTTGGTACGGGATATCGCACTCTTCCCAGTGTCACATGCCGCATATGTGGAAACCTGAGGCTGCAAATACGGCACTGCCACCGCCCGAAACTCCGGGGATCAGCAATAGTTATGGAGTTAAGGTTCCAACCATGATTCCGTGTCTGTTGCACCTGCGCCAGTGTCCCAGCAACAATCTTGGTGGACTGATGAGATGATTTCGACAATGGTTTGAGATAGAAGGCGTAACCAGTACCAATGGCTACAGGTTCGACCAGTCCTTGATTGTTTCTGTTAATATGAGATTGACGTGACATAACCTAGTGCGCATCTGCGTCTGCGGGGATGAGGGCACTGGCAAGTCCAGTCTCATCACCTCTCTCGTGAAGGGTGTCTTCGTGACGAACAAAATTCAGCCCGTCCTACCTCAAATTACCATTCCTCCCACGATCGGAACGCCTGAGAATGTCACGACCACCACGGTGGTGGACACCTCCGCTTTACCGCAGGAGCGGAGCAACCTGGCCCGGGAAATCAGAAAGTCGAACGTGATTCTGTTGGTTTATTCCGATCATTACAGCTATGAAAGAGTCGCTCTATTCTGGTTGCCGTACTTTCGATCTCTGGGGGTTAACGTGCCGGTTGTATTATGCGCCAACAAGTCGGACTTAGCTGCCGATCATATCGAAGCCCAAGTCATCGAGGAGGAAATGCTACCGGTGATGGCGGAGTTCAAGGAAATCGATTCCTGTATACGTACCAGCGCACGCGAACATCGCAATGTGAACGAGGCTTTCTTCCTTTGTCAAAAAGCCGTCACTCACCCGATCGCTCCGCTGTTCGATTCGAAGGAGTCCGCGCTGAAGCCAGCAGCGGTTGCAGCCTTACAACGCATATTCTACCTGAGCGACAAGGATCGAGATGGGTATCTTTCGGATAAAGAAATCGAAGATTTTCAGATGAGATGCTTTGATAAGCCTTTGAGCAAGGAGGACCTTGTCCACATCAAAGAGACGATCCAGAAAACACACCCGGACTCTGTGACCCCATTTGGCATTGACTGCCGAGGGTTCATACATTTGAACAAGATGTACGCAGAAAAGGGACGCCACGAGACCGTCTGGATTATTCTACGAGCATTCCAATACACCGACAATCTTTCACTGCAAGAGAGCTTCCTTCATCCCCGATTCGAAGTACCGCCTTTTGCATCTGCTGAGCTGTCCCCGGAAGGATATCGGTTTTTTGTAAATCTCTTCCTGCTGTCGGACAAAGACAATGATGGTGGCTTGAATGACGCCGAATTGGCGTCCTTGTTCGCCCCTACTCCCGGTCTCCCAGCTTCTTGGGCGGACGGCTCATTTCCTTCCTCCACAGTCCGGAATGAGGCTGGCCACGTCACTCTTCAAGGCTGGCTCGCTCAGTGGAGTATGACAACATTTCAATCACCTAAGACGACTCTTGAGTATCTGGCTTATCTTGGCTTCGAGTCGTCCGATAGGAGTAATCCCTCTACAACGGCTGCCTTGAAAGTCACGCGGCCGCGAAAGAAACGAAAGCGTCCTGGACGTGTGGGCCGTAACGTCGTCTTGGGCCACGTGGTTGGAGCTCCAGGATCGGGCAAATCAGCGCTTCTCGACGCATTCCTCGCGCGTGGCTTCAGCCACACTTATCGTCCGACTATCCAGCCCCGGACTGCTGTGAACACGGTTGAGCTCCCCGGGGGTAAACAATGCTACTTGATTTTGGATGAGCTAGGAGAACTGGAGCCCGCCATTCTTGAAAACCAGGCGAAGCTTCTGGATCAGTGCGACGTCATTGTATACACGTATGATTCCTCAGACCCGGACTCCTTTGCCTACATCCCCCAGCTACGATCCAAGTATCCGCATATTGAAGAGCTCCCGAGTGTTTTTATTGCGCTTAAGGCCGATCTGGATCGTACCACGCAACGGGCTGAGCATCAGCCCCACGAGTACACGGCCATGTTGAATATGCCGAGTCCGCCGCTCCATGTCAGTGCTACTTGGAGTTCCATCCAAGAGGTGTTTGTACACATTGCAGAGGCTGCAATGGAGCCCAGCACTGCTTTTCCCCGGAGTGAGGAAGACGTGGAGGGAAAATGGATGGCCTGGGGTATAGCACTTGGAGCAGTGGTTTGCGCTGGGGCTGCTGCCGTGATGATTTGGCGAAGAGTTAGTGGTAGCGGATAGGACTTTGAGCTTATTAATGCCTACCTGGATGAATAAATTAGATTGATACCCCGAGAAGCTTTGATGCGTTCATGCATGTGCTTCGTTCATGGGCTTTGAAATGCAGCGGGGCTTGCGCCGGCAGAAGAGATTAAAATATCACCTCATATAATATTGCATTTAGATATACCAATTAAGTCTTTTATTTGATGGTGGACATATAAAGCCACTAGAGTAAGATCGATGATCTCAAACTGCCAATAAATGGTTGATATCAGACCCCGCCTATGGCCAGGAACCGCGTCAACAGCACGGAGAGAACAACATAATAGGCTATATAGCCAACCGCTGAGTACACTAACCCCAGAAACCGACTCACGGGCCTCCCAAACTTCCCCGTCCAGCTCTCCGCTCCTCTCCTGTCCGACCTGCGCGCTTCAAATCTGTCGTCCTACCTCACTGTTGGGATTCCTTTATTGTATATATTATTTCTTCGTCTAATTCCGCTGATTATCATTTTGTCGAGACCGGCTTGTCTTATACCCCAAGGTCAGACTGATTCTTGTTTTTCCCCTCCACGTGTATGCATGATCGACTAACTGATGTCAGAAGAAGTAGATATACCTGAGCGCCGATCTCAACGTTGAAACACTGGCTTGAAGAAATTTATACTTCACGATTCCTCTACTCCTAATATCGTTCCTCAATACGTCGCATTCATTCCAGATCTCAGCATCACACACTACCCTGGGCAGCTCTGCTTAGGGTGCCGCTCTTACGAGCATTTCACTGCGACTGTGGACTCAGCAGCGTTCACCTATTGACCTAGTCAACATTGTTTGCCTTTCATTTACTATTCACTGCTATTTCTGCGGCGTATACAAAAATATTCTAATTCACATGAGTTAGCGCCACTCCATCGCAACCGCAGCCATGTTGTAAGACTCCCTTGCTACACCTGATGGTCGCCATCAGTCTTTCCTTGTTATCTCTTGCTGTTAATTGTCGCCTGTTGCGCTCCTAGGGACTAGCAGGGAACAGCTGGATATCAACTGCGAACTGCACTTTCGCTGACTTGACCGCTCTAGTGTTCTTCCGCCTCCGCCTCCTCGCTACACCGTGCCAGTCGCTTATGCTGCTGGCGCGGCAAATGGCATGGCAGTGCCGGTCGTAGAGACCAATAACATACTCAGTCATCCAGAAGGCGGCTGCCCGCTACAAGTTGGAGAAGGTGCGTTTGTATCCGCGGAGTCTCGACAACTGGGACTAACAAGGACTTTCCATTAGGCACCTATGAACTCAAGGACGACCTGCATCTAGCAACCCCTCCTCCACACCCATCTGAAGCTCCAATTATAAATCCAAATCCTCTTGCGACTGTTCCGACACCTCCGACATCCGGCGTCAAAGTTTCACTAGTTTGTGTCAGCCCTCGAAGCAAGACTCCCTCGTTCATCTCAAAGCAGATCGTAACAGCGCCCCCTTTTGGAGATGGAAACCCGGCACTGGTACCTGCTCCTGTCAAGGACGGTCTGAAAAGGCGGAAGCCAAAGAACAACATTATCAAGAGCAGTTCGTCCTTCGTATCACGGGTCATCACTCATGAAGCGGCCACAAAGCGGTTGAGTGAGCGGAGTCCGGAAGGCCTTTTTGCTTTCGCCAATATCAACCGCGCCTTCCAATGGCTTGATCTCAGTTCAAAGCAGAAGGAAGAGCCGCTTGCAAAGATTCTCTTCACAAAGGCACACATGTTGTGCCACGATATTAATGAGGTCACCAAAAGCCCTTCTCATATCGACATGGTTATGGGTTCCTCTGCTGGTGACATCATCTGGTACGAGCCTATTTCTCAAAAGTACGCCCGAATAAATAAGAATGGAGTCGTCAGCAATTCTCCGGTCACTCATATTAAATGGATTCCTGGGTCGGAAAATCTGTTTATGGCTTCACACGCAAACGGACAATTAGTCGTCTATGATAAAGAGAAGGAAGATGCTCTTTTCACCCCTGAAATTCAGGATCAGTCAGCGGAGGCGCTCAAGGCGTCCAGTAGACAGCCGCTGCAGGTGTTAAAGTCCGTCAACTCCAGGAACCAAAAGACTAACCCTGTCGCTCTTTGGAAGCTTGCAAACCAAAGAATATCCCACTTTGCATTCTCCCCAGACCAAAGGCATTTGGCAGTTGTCTTGGAGGATGGCTCTCTACGAGTGATGGACTACTTGAAAGAAGAGTAGGTCTCCTCTGTTCTTACTATCCGTACATTCAGAGTTTGGCAGGCATCTAACGAGCCGCTAGGGTCTTGGACATTTTTCGCAGTTACTATGGTGGACTCATCTGCGTCTGCTGGTCGCCTGATGGCAAATACATTGTCACCGGCGGACAGGATGATTTACTGACTATTTGGTCTTTCCCGGAGCGCAAAATCGTGGCCCGTTGTCAGGGTCACAACTCTTGGGTTTCCGCGGTCGCCTTCGACCCATGGCAGTGCGACGAACGGACCTACAGATTTGGGAGTGTTGGTGACGACTGCAGGCTTCTTCTGTGGGACTTCAGCGTTGGCATGCTGCACCGACCGAAAGTGGTACGTATCCCTTTATCACGAGACCAGCATACACACTCGAATTGTTAAAATACTTCAACATGGTGAGGTTTGAACCAATGCGCTAACAAATCTTAACAGCATCAAGCCAGCGCCCGTCAGCGAACAAGCATGGTCGCTGGCAGTTCACAGTATGGCAATCGTCACCGAGCTGACAGTGCGGGCAACAGGATGAGGTCAGATTCTCAGAGGACAGCAAACACCTATGAGAGTTGCGACCAAGCTGTCCGTCACCCTGTAGAACCCAGAGCACGCACGGCCTTACTGCCGCCTATCATGGTGAGTTCTGAGTAATGCCCATAAGCTTTTGGACCATTGAATCTTGAGCTGACTGCTTCCAAAGTCCAAGGTCGTTGGCACAGACCCTATCTGCTGGCTGGGCTTCCAAGAAGATTGTATTATGACCTCTTCTCTTGAAGGTAATTCGCCCTGATTTACATACTTCGCTTGTCGTCTCGGGAGACAGCCGCTAACATGGGAGGCTAACAGGCCACATTCGCACCTGGGACCGTCCTCGAGAAGGCATAAATGACAAGTACAATGACCAGTCATCGTCACCCGCGGTCAGCGCCAGCGCTGCTGGCTCAGGATCCGTCTCGGGGCTTGCTGAATCCACCATGGGCTCGCTCTGAGGACTTGTAACAAAGGCTGACGCTTGACTACTTCTGTATATATGTACATTCCACTAGTATACCCATTTGCTTTTACTCATGACCATTCTTCCCTGTATTGATACACACCAACTTGGTAGTAGGTGTGTTCACGCTCCTGATTGGAACGAAAGGATTTCAAGACCACGAAGTCGACTTAGGCCTAAGTATCGATGTATGCTATCGGAGTCGCGGACAGAACAAGCAGGCCACTTTCCAAGAAACTGAAAACAAACTCGAGCTGACAATGTGATGAGTGCATAAGAAATCCACTACCAAGTGAAGATGTACAGATGTACATGCATACATCACTAGCCTGCTCTCCTTGCATGAGGATCAAAGTTTTCATAACCAACTTACTCCAAAAACCCAGCGGTGAGCGCAAGGCCAGAAAAGGAAGTTCATTATCAATTATCAATTATTTTGCATAGGCAATTAAATGCATTAGAAAGCATGTTTTCATCCATCATGTCAGTGTCACCGTTCATATCGTCGGATATCATGCCTTGGAAAGATATATATATATACCAAGAATATCCCCAAATTCCATACCGTGACGTCACTCTCTAACGCCCTTGCTCAACGAGAGTCCTATTTACACGACCATAGCGAAAAGACCCAGGATAAAGGAGCCCACAGCGGCTGGGGCGATGAGAGATGCAGCAGCGTTGGTCGTTGCAGTAGCGGTAGCGGAAGCAGTCGCGGTGGCGGTTTGGCTCTCTGCAGAGGGAGAATTCGTTAGAACGCATGGTGCAGGGTATTTCGATTGAAAATCTCACCGGTGGAAGTAGTCTTTGGCTCAGGCTTGACGTCCGTGACATTGAACTGGGGAGATTGGGCCAGGATCCCCGTGTTCGTGGGTCCGGTGCTGACGAAGTTGACCTGGTAGCCGTTTCTTTTGATTCAGAGTCAGCCTAGCCTGTAGCTGGAAAGAACATCAAAATTTTGGACATACGCCTTGGGAATACCAGAGACACCGTCCACGGTGTATTTCTCATCGGAGGCTTTGACTTCCTTGGCGATGACTTTGTTGACGGGGGGCTGAGTGATCATGTTGACGAGGACGATGGAGAAGTTCTGGGAGTCGGATCTGTTGCTATGCTTTAGTTTTCGTCCTATAGATGTCTATGCAGGAGGACTTACTCTACATATTGCCATTCGATATTGACGGACTTGCTCATGTCCACCTGGTCCAGGCTCTTGGGGGATGTGATGGTGAGGGCTTAGGTCTTGTTAGTAAGGCTATCGCCTTGTGAAGAGGAATATAGAGAAGACGTACCCGCAGCGGCAGCTGCGAGAGCAATGATTGAGGTGAAGAAGCGCATTGTGATTGAAGTGTTACTGATTTGAGGTAATATATCCCAAAGGAATAGGTAATAGACTGGTGGAAGGCAGAACCTTTTGAGCTTGAAAACCGTTAATGGTGACCGATATCGACTCAATGCAAGAGGACGACTGCCGGCTTTATAAACACAAGGTTCAAGACCTTCCTTGCTTGTCTCTTCATGAACTAAGGCGATGTTAGCATATTTTGGAGTTTATTTGGATACATCTGCGCCCGGTCAGAGTCGAGTCGTGCGTTGACGCGAGGGATTCTATCTGATGTGTCTTTCCTCGTTTATAGCTCTAGCGACGAAGCTCATGACTCCGGCATTGCTTCTTTGATTGGCAGTAATGAAGAGGTAAGTTTTACTGAGTCGATGGTGCGCTCATATTGACTGTGTATCGGTAAAGCACCACTGAGTCGGTGATTGAGCCCTCGTGCCCTGAAGATATAGAGGATAAGTGTTTCCGTATACAACCTCATGACATGTCATATCTCCAGCATCTGCTGCTTCTTCAGTGTAAGGATAGCTGCTGGTCTACGACACGTTGCTGGGCTACATTGCTGGCCTTCAATTGCAGAGAGCAAGAGTCTCAATGCCTTTTTATGTAATGAATGGGTATTCTAGATAAGTTCTCGAGGCTATTGATCCCTTTGTAGCGAGTGAGGGATGTTACTCCGTGAAAGCAGGTTCTCATCTAGGCGAAAGTCTAAACTAACGAGTGCGCAAGTCTCACTTCTGTCTCGAGATTGATGAAATAGGCGAGGGTGAGTTCCCTGATCACACAGGATGATCTGTTCTCAGTTTTCCCTTTGTCCCGCTACTTGACTACACAAACAAAGGACAACCTAGGCTTGAGTTTAAGGCAACCGAAAAGTCTTTACTGTTGCTAGCCTCGAATTGATCTGCGTATTGTCGGTCAATGCCAATTCAAGTTATTCAAATCCTGTGACTATGGGCTGCAGTCTTGGTGATGACGGATCCACCGATGTGCAGTGCATATGAGCTATCAATGACCTGCCGATATCACGGTGTGGACTAGACGCACATCCCATCCATCTCTGAGAATGCAATCATCTGTGGCGAGTCAACCGACAACAAGAGGATCCAGGCAATAGACGAACACCTGTACGGAAAGCCTCGTGCCGAAAGCGGCGCAATGATATGGATGGTCTCCAGTAGCCTTAGGGTCGGCCAACATCTAACAACACTCATCTTCTCTTCGCAAGAAGGAAGTTGGCTTGTCTGGGTTCCTTATTGCATCAGAGCCTGTCGATGGTCATCCATGACGTATCCAACATGCTCCTGCAACTTCCTACCCCTTTACTAATGGAATGGATAGCAATCAGGTTTGGCAAGCTGCGGTGATATCCTCAGCGCTGCAGGTCTATACAAAAATCTCCATCTTCAGGACACTTACAGACAAGGTCAATGAAATGACCAAAGAATTGGGTTCTGGAATACTGCATATGGGGATTCTGATCATCACCAGCTAATCAGAAGTAAAATAGTGATCCACATCATCACAGTGTTACAATCACGATAACTCTGGCTTGGTTGATTTCCCTGCTGCCTGAACTTCATATAACACAGCATTTGTTATGCTTTTTCTTTGGCTCGAGCCTCTGCGGCAACCATGCAAGAAGAATCACACAACCCCTGCAATACCAACTGTTTTCACACAAGCATAAGGGAATAGAGGATAAGGACCTTGTGTTATGCCATGATTGCTTGTTTCGCGCTGTTACTAAGGCTGAAGATCGTCACTTCTACAGGATTTTAATCAGAACCGACAGGGGTACGTATTGTCGAGGGTGTGAACGTCGAGGCTTCTCGCGTCGAGCAGGCTCCCGGGCGGTTTTAAAATAACATAGTATAAATGAGGCTAGAAGGCCTCCTTCCAGCTCAGTTGAGAGCATCAACAATCATCCAGACTTTCTTCTACTGCTTTCCTCTAGGAACCCATAAAATCTCTCTCACAAACTCACCATGAATCTCAAGACTGTTACCATCCTCCTCGGCCTATGCGAGATACTCCTCGCCGTCCCCATTCAAGGCTCCCAGAAAGATAAACGCCAGGGTCTCGAAGGCTTTAATTTCGGTGATCTGGCGAGCACAGGTGCCTCTGGCACCAGCGCAGGCTCAAACACCAACCCGTTTGGGTCGTTGTTCTCTGGCGTTCCGTCCACGAGCGGCTCAGGCTCCTCAGCCGGCACCGGGAATATGATTCTCCCAGCTGGAACTTTGACCTCTGGATCTCAAACCGGTAACGACGAAACGAACCAAGGACAGTCTGGTTCTGGCGACCTTTCCCAGGGCGGAGAGGGTGGTCAGGACGTCGAGGAGGCGGGTCAAGACGGCAATGAGGGTGACGGCCCAGAAGACGAGACCGTTGCTTGAATATGCTTCACACCTTGAGCATTCGTGACAGTGAAGCCAAACACGTCATCGGAAGAGCAAGGATTCCATTTCTTTTGTCAATGTAGGCAGAGAACAGGGTTGAGTTGGGCGGGCATTGACTTATCGGTGGCCGGGCACTTCTGTTGTTTGCTTCTTTCCGGTCATCTTTTGGCTTATATAGTGTCAATGACAACACTGCTATTATTCTGCCTAAGCTCCCCTTGCATCAACATCAGCAATGTTGATCATATTAGTCAAAATTTAAATGATTTGCTTTGTGGCGGGAATTTACATAACTCTGAATGCTGTGGCCAAAGGAGAATGTAGAGATAACTGTTATGCCGCGCCAAAGTACCATCAGACGCTGCACATGATCTGAAGGGCTCTCTGGTTCTTAGATCATCTTTGAACGTTTGAACAATCCTAAGGTAGGTAGTTTATCAATGAGGTCACGAAGCTGGCTGGCGGATGGGATCGCAGACAGCCCATTATGTCATCTGTGATTGGTGTATTATTGAATCTTCCCCGCCCTGAGAATTTGTTGTTTCTCAGCACAAACAGCCTCGATCTCCCCGCTTGATGATCAAGGGAAATTCTAAGATTCTCGCTCTCCAAGTAATGATAAAGAGGCATCGAATACACTGTCGACATAAAATCAGCGATTTTGAAGATGGGTGACATAGGCAATAGCCTGTTGAAAGTCAGTTCCTCCACGTCTGGAGCCTGAGTGGACAGGAAGCTAATTGTTGGATTTGTGCTGTTTCGAACGTCTAGGAGCTTGAAAAGGAATACTGTCCTCCTCTGGATTCAGCTTTGTTCACGGCTATTGTCTGCGACTATGACCTAGAAAACCCCGCGCAAGTCCAGCAACTCCGCGACACCCTGGACACTCTGAAGTTATCAGCATGGGAGCAGGAAGATCTACCCTTCGATCCATCCGGAACCAGCGGACTGAGTCCTGGCACTAGCGGTGACGCAGATGGCATTCTGTCAGAGCGCAGCGGCTCGCAAAACGGCACTGCCCCGTCGCGCGAAACAGATATCACCAGTCTGGCGTCCGACTTCTCCTCCGTTGGTCTGGACGACAGGCGCACGAGGAGTCAGGGCAATAGCAATTCTTTGCGCTACACGATCGGCCCTGACGGATCGCTGTCGCTCTCTGGCGCTTCCGAGAACGACAAAGTCGGTTATCTGACAGATATGTTTCCTTCTCTGGATCGCTTTACTGTGCAGCATTCGCTTAGGAAGTCTGACGGTGATATTGATCGCGCCATGGATGTGCTCTTGAACATTGCTTTCTTTGATGAGCAGCGAGAAGACGAAGATGGAACTAAGCTTGCCATTCCAAAGGGCATCGATGGGTTCGACGAGTGTTCTAATGGAGACACTGGGCGGAAGAAGAATCGCAAGCGCAAGGGAAAGAATAAGAACAGTCCGGTTCAGGGACTCTCTTCTCCGGCAGCCTCAGGATACTTGCAGGACGAGAATCTCCCCCTGAACAAATGGGACGCTGGTCAGAAAGATATCGAGTTTATCTGTTCTAGGACTTTGCCTGTCCTGAAGAAGGAGGCTGTAACTTCTTCTTATCATGCTAACGGAGCGTCACTGCCACAGACGATTCAATCGCTTGCGATGGCACATGCGCCTGAGGAAAAACATATCAATGGACACCCCGTAATGCTTGCACAAGTTGCAGAATTGACGCAAGAATTTCCGTCTGTTGCGCCAACACTACTGGGTGGGCTACTGAACATCACTCGCAATTCGACGTCTGCCGCCGGTGAGCTGGCAGTCGCCATGCTCACCCGTCCAGCGGCCAGTTCTGTGTCTAACCTGATCAAAATCACCACTGCGCCTCCACCCTTGGATCTCGATGATGATGAGCCCAAGAGACCTTCTGTGGAGTCACGAGTCCTTCGCCATCACGGTACTGCTCGAGTTACCGCTTGCGACCACTTTGTGGCCAGTGCAGAGGCTTTCCACAAAGCTTCAGCAGCTTACCGTCGTGGAAAATCAGACAAATTAATGGGCGGAGCAGCTGCTTACTACTCCTCGGTGGGCCGAGATCATCTCGAGCGCGCAAAGCGGGAGGCTGCCGCTGCGGCCGATGCTCTAGTCGATTCGCAGTCAACCTCAAATTCATTGGATCTGCACGGTGTCTCGGTCCAGGATGCCATTCGCATCGCCAGTTCGCGCGTCGCCGCATGGTGGGACTCTCTTGGCGACGCCAAGTACATGCGCGGCGGCGAGGCAGCGCGATCAGGCTTTCGCATCATCACCGGAGTCGGACGCCACAGCCATGATGGCACATCTCGCCTGGGGCCAGCTGTTGGCAAGATGCTGGCCAGGGAAGGATGGAGAGTAGAGGTGGGTGAGGGTGTTTTGACGGTGACCGGTGTTGTTCGACGTCGTTGACATGTTACGCCATTTTCAGTTCATGATCGTGTTTAAGATACCCTACAGTTATTGCATCTGGTTGATCTAGTTGATGTCCAAGGATTTAATGTCGGTGAATACTGCATCTAGCGGACATACTTGTTTACCTGTTTACAAAATATACCCATTTTCTTCTGCAAGCCTTTTTCCGGCGGTGATTCTCCGCATGATGACGTAAAACGTAGAGGCAATCGGAGATTCAGCAATGCATCGATAATCTGACACAAGCCTCGCTTTCGCGTATACGTGGCTGTGGCCTCTACGGGTAAACCTAAGCAGAATTCTCGACCTGATCTTCTCGCTAATCCAGAGTCCATAATTATAGTCCAGCCCGATGCGTTTCCAACACCTCAGTCGTTTTCTCCGCATCCTCACCACCACACCTTTCATCACATCCATTACCAGAATACCTTTTCCACTCTCAAGAGCGACAGCCCTCAAAGCTGCGCCCACTATTCCATTCCTAAGCTCATTCTTCGGCTCAAGTGCCAAAGCCGAGGAGTCCAACATGTCCTACCCCGAACAACGAAGTGAGGCGGAATGGCGGGCAGTCCTGTCACCAGGTGAACATCCTTCTACAATACACTACACACAAAAGAACAGCGATCTAATCTTTTGAACAGAACAATTTCGCGTCCTCCGCGAAAAAGGCACAGAGCCCCCTTACACGGGCGAATATGACTCCCATTCCCCGTCCAAGGGCGTCTACACTTGCGCCGGCTGCAACGCCCCGCTCTACAAGGCCACGCATAAATTCAAGTCCGGGTGTGGCTGGCCTGCATACTTTGACTCCATCCCCGGTGCGGTGACCAGACATACGGATCGCTCGTTTGGGATGGAGCGGACGGAGATTGTGTGTAGTAACTGCGGGGGTCATTTGGGTCATGTCTTCAAGGGTGAGGGTTATCCTACGCCGACAGATGAGAGGCATTGCGTGAACAGTATTAGTTTGAAGTTTACCGAGGACGAGGAGGCAGTGAAGTCGAAGGCATGAGGATCTGAGATGCGAAAACACAATTATGTAGTACCAGTTTGATGATGATGTTCTGACGGCGAGGAGCCATGGTATGAGGTGAGGGGCGTACGTGGACCATAAAATGCTTCCATAAAAATTTCTCAAGGCTCTATTCAAAACAAATAGATTTATAGGACTCGATGATTTGTATTATATTCGAGTTTCTAGTCTTTGTTGACTCCATCTTGCATGTCCGGCACGTGCGGCCGTCATCGGGCATCCACAATTGGCTGCCTCAGGCCGCACCGCATCCGCCACTTGGTGATTGTCATCCACTGTTGAATTTCCCCAAATACAACAACCATTACTTCCAACCCTTCCAGCCATCGAGAGGACCGCGCTACCAGCTGTCATGTCTCGACGTGCGACTCCTTCCCAGGCCGCGCAGAACCAGCAGATCATCAAGAACCTGCTGAAAATCGAATGCAATAAGATATGTGCTGATTGCAAGCGCAACAAGCGTGAGTTGTGCCCGCCCCCGGATATCCTGGTCTTGTCCTATCTGCCTACACTCAACTGCCAATCTGCGCCTTTGAACCCTGTTCCTTGATCGGTTTCGCTGACGATATAATCTACTAGATCCGCGATGGGCCTCATGGAATTTGGGAATCTTCATATGTATCCGTTGCTCGGGCATCCACAGGGGGATGGGCACCCATATCAGCCGAGTGAAGTCTGTCGATCTCGATTCGTGGACCGATGAACAACTCCAGAGTGTTATCAGATGGGGCAATGCCAGAGCGAACAAGTATGTGTCGAGCCGTTAATCCTCGCGGGTTGGATATCGTTTCTGATCATGGATTCGCAGATACTGGGAAGCGAAACTGGCGCCTGGTCACGTCCCCTCGGAAGCGTGAGTCGGCCCCGTCGTCACAGCAGTATACCAACGCTAATGGAAACGTGGATAGTAAGATCGAGAACTTTATTCGCACCAAATATGAATCAAAGCGGTGGGTTATGGATGGGCCAATGCCCGACCCGGCAACGTTGGACGTGGGTGACGACAACGTGGTAAGCTCTACCGGCGCATCTGTTGAATCTGCGATTGAATTGACACCCCTTTAAGCCTCTTGCAGTCGTCCAGGAAAAGGCAAAGATCGAGCGTTCCTCGTCTCAACGAGTAGCGAATACAAGCCAACCTCCGATCACGCACCGCCCCCAAGCATCTATTGACTTCTTCGGTGATGACGAGCCAATTACTCCCCCGGTTCGCCCTAGCACCACAGATCCCACGCCGCGGATCGCTGCGCCCAGGCAGCAATCGCAATCACAGCCTGCCGCAAAGCCGGCTCGACCGGGTGATTCGTTGCTGGGACTCGATTTCTTCGGGAGCGCTCAGCCCGCGACCACCAGCCGTCCAGCCAGCACCGCGTCTACCCCTGGTGGCTCGACCGGAATGTCTCGACCTGATTTGAAACAATCCATCCTGTCTCTTTATTCCAAGCCCCAGCCTCCCGTGCAACATGAGCGCCAGTCTTCGTTTGGAGATTTAGCATCTCCGGCCCCGCAATCGTCGTCTTCCAACTTGGGCGGAATGACCGACGCCTTC